TTGCTGGAAGATGGATTTTGTTTGCAGGGCAGAAAAGTAAGGTGCAGTATAATGCTCAATACTACATTTTTCAATAATGGGACAACTGCTTCCTGTGCATAATTAAAAAAAAAATCTTAGCAAAGTACCGGTAGTCCTTGTTTAGCAACTACAGTTGGGACTGACAACTTGGTCATTAAGCAAAGCAGTTGCTAAGTGAAACTGCAACTGTGCTTATGATCTTACTTCAGCTTTCCTTTGCTTTACAGACCTGCGGAGGTCATAAATGCAAGGATTGGTCACCATGTTACTTTTTCATCACCATTGTAACTGCAAATGGTTTGATTACTACCTGTAATCTCTCACCTATCCCTCCAGCATGATTCAAGAGAGTCACAATCAAGAACAAATTTTGCTTTTAGTCCAGATTAAATTTCACAAGTGAGTGCAGTATTTGAGACTGCATTTCCCTTAGCAAAGGGGTAGACAACTTTTGGGACTGGGATACATTTCAAATTTTGACAGCATGTGTTGGATACCTTCCCAATTTGGCTGCCGTGAAAGACTTGTTGATTCACAAGTTGCCATGGTAGGACTAGCCAATAATAAAATACTTATTTACCAGAAGGCAAATTAATATCTCACGATGTTTTCTGTCTTCCCAATATTTGTGGGGCTGAGCATTGTTTCTGTAGATTAATATGATATTTGAGATTGTTCTTTGTTTTGCAACATGCACGCAGGATCACATTCTTACAAATTATTTCTTTTTTTAAGTGAAGTGAGACGGGGAGTTAATTAGCACTAAGAAAGGTCTATGGGGTTGCCTTAGCAAAATCAAATAAGGATTATACTTATATACAAATTATTCATGTTTTATTTATTTCTGGGCTAGAAAATATAAGTTCAAGTGATAGTGCAGGTATTTTATATGTCTACTTAGTTCAGTGGGACTTTTCAATATATACTACTAAACAGAGGCATGACTGAAACTGATCTTTTAAAAAGATGCAAAATATGATTGAATGTCATTGAGCTAGTAAAAAAGAAGTACAAGGTTCTTGGTTGAGGGAGGAGACAGTGTTTTGAGCTGATTGAAATGGGAAAATATGTGGACTATATAGAAGGAGAAAGTGAAATTAGTAGATCTATTTTAAAGCAGACATCAATCAAAATAATTGCTGGTTGTTCCTTGTGTTGACAAGGGGTGCTAGAGAAGAGCACAATGGTTCCCACAATGTCTGGTAAAAACAAGCTTTTCCTGAAATAATACCTGCAATTACAAATTTGAATTAAAATGTCTGCCTGTTTACTTAGAACAACAACTAAGGAGGTTTGTATGGAGCTCTTGCAGATGTACTTCTTTAACTAAAATCTTAATTCAATGTTTGTTTTTACTTCCTTTATTGCATTTTTTAAAAGTGTAATCTTCCAGATTTATCTAAATAGTATCCAGATAATTATGCCATATAAGTAGCTGTTCATTCACACCAGTCCAGAAAAATCTTAATTCAATGTTTGTTTTTACTTTATTGCATTTTTTAAAAGTGTAATCTTCCAGATTTATCTAAATAGTGTCCAAATAATTATACCACATAAGTAGCTGTTCATTTACACCAGTCCAGAAGTTCTGAGCCAGTATCTTCCACTCTAGCACCTCCAAACATGTTGGAGATGTAGTTCCCACAATTCCCAGCCAGCTGAGGACTTTGGAAGATGCATTTTCAACACATCTCAAGGTGGCCAAATTGGATAAAGTTTCTCTATATAAGTTACATACACAAACATTTTGGATGAATATTCACATCAGCATTGGGAGAAGCTCTATGCATGCAATTCATTATGCAGACTGTTGTTTCACATCACTGTCATGTACTGCAAGCAACATGTTAGACCCACATCAGCTTGGCTTGAATCCTAAATCTATTTAGATGTAAGGGTGGATGGATAGTTAGCTGATACAAACAACATACGGAAAATATAATTTTGGCTGATTTCCAACTGACAAAGGTGACAAAGTCACATTAGGAAATATTCTGTGATACCTAATAGCTAAATTCTGTCCTTAGAATATGAATATGAATATGTGTGTGTGTGTGTGTGTGTGCGCGCGCGTGCTTTTTCATGAAGTATATCATCAGCATATTTGAGGTTGTTGATATTTCTCCCAGCAATTTTATTTCCAGTTTCTATTCTATTAATCCAGTATTTGACATGTATTCTGCATATAAATTAAACAAATAAGGTAATAATATGCAACCTTGGCTTTCCTTTTGTTAATCAGTTTTTCACAATAAAATTATTTTAATAAACTTAAAGTGCAGACCAATATGACTTGCATACCATTTATATTTCTGAGATCAACTTATTTAATGTAGCAAACTCATAATGATTGCCTCCCTGTTACTGGCTCTGTTTTATTTATTTTGGTGTTTTCCTAATTAATTCTTACTGGATAACTTATCTACATTTCTTTCCATTCTTAGCTATGCAAATTCAATCCCAGTCAATGTATACTCTTCAGTTTCTCACAATCACCTGAAAATCTTAACTTTTTTATAACTGAAAGCTATAAAAATAGTGTATATATTTTCATAGTAAAAGAATTTGGCTCTCCAGTTACAGAGTACAAAAAACCTTGCATCTTCTCATCTACTAAGTAGGGATAGACAACCTGACATGTTGTCTCCACATGTTAGGATTAGGACTACTGCACCCCTTCTCATTGGTGATGGTAGCTTGGGTAGGTAGAAGCTGTAGACCCAAACATTGGAAGAATCCCACATCTATATACAGGTGGTCCTCATTTAATGACCACTCATTCAGCGGCCGTTCAAACTTACAACGGCACTGAACGGTAGTTCCGACCAGTCCTCATATTTACAGCAGCCACAGCATCTTTCCCTGCTGGCTTCTGACAAGCAAAGTCAATGGGGAAGCCAGCAGGAAGTCACAAGTTGCAGTCATGTAAAGTCCTGTCAGGCCCAGCCCAAGAACAACGATGAAATGGTCCAGTCAAGTATAGTTTCTTTATTTGCTTACACCTTATAGACAGAATCTTGCCAAACTAAATCTATACTACAGCAACTAGTGGATATACCCTGAGAGATTCTAGGGAGTGGCTATCCTGAATCTCTTACTCTTCCCACATTCCTCTTGTGGGCTGCAGTCTTTTGTCTCCTTTCCCTGGCTGGAATGCACCCCTTCCTTCCTGATAGCCTTGATCTCCCACATCACTCTCCTCTTCGTAGATAACATTCCATCACAAGTCCTTTCTTAAGGCCCGTGTGGTTCTCACTTAACAATGGCAACCAGAACTACCAGAACTGCCACTGCTAACTGGCATGGTCATGTGGTTTTTTGACTTATGACCGCGTTGCTTAATGATGGAGTTTCCAGTCCCAATTAATGTTGTTAAAGGAGGATTACCTGTGTTCTCTCCAATCTCTATTCCATCAGCTGATTCAGAATTAAACAACTGTTTATTCATTTAGCATTGCCTATACTAAGGGTCAGCAACCTTTCCTGTACCAGGGACCTCACTCCAAGGAAGAACAAATATCAGGAAATTTCAATACTCTCATCCCATGATCTCATAAGATTCTACATCACATTGATAATCTCTGGTCTTATGTATGCATCTTTCTCATAACCTGTATGTGAATTTTGCTGTGAAGTTCACACTGAATTCATATACTTCTCCAAAGCCCAAACACTATTTACATAAATAATCCATGCATTATTTACACAAAACCTGCATAATCAGAACTTTACCATGGGGGTTAAGTTGTGAGCTATTTCACATCCCTAGGGAAGTTTTAGGAAGTCTTGGGAAGCCTCTTTCCCTCTGGCCTGAAAGTCCTTTCACTGTATGTGAAAAACAATACTGTCCTGCTTTATAGCTTTGTTTTTAGAACTACTGGGAAAATGCATGGAATGTTAGACTGACATTGCTAATTTGGAGGACATCAAGCTTGTAAACAGCTTGGAGTACTTATTTCATCAATGGAATGATCACTTTTTGGTCACATGGCTTTACTCAGTTAAGATTTCAGCTGATGGTTTGGTATTAAAAATATTAGGATTTTGTATAGAGGACTTTATGGAGAACATTGGATGATGGGAATGTAAACATTCCTAAAAAAGCAAGAGGCCTCCTTGGAATTCTTCATTTCTGAAATCTAGTAAGCAGAAGAAGGGGGGATCTTTTTAGAATGGCATCTTACCTCATGTTTAACACAGTTCTGCAACCATGTGGAATAGTTTATTTTTATTTCCTGGAGGAAAAAGATTCAGAATTCTAGCAGGGGTTTAAAAGTAAGGCAACATTGTATAATGAGTGCCTGAAGTTTAGGAAGCTTCCTTATTTTGTCTGGGTTTGCACATCACACTAAGCCTTAGTGTTACAAACAATGATGGCTAAATTCATACAATACTCTTAAGCCCAAGCCAAATAAACCACATTCAGTCTTAGCATTAAGGGTGAATACTGCCAGACAATTTAGTCTAGAAATTCTGACATTGATTGGCAGTGATTTCCCAGGACAGAATATAAATCTAGATCCCTGAGCAATGGATCTGCAATTGCACATAAGTTTTGTATTGCTTGAGTTTGTTGAGATTACTTATGTTTTATTTTGACGCTTTCTTGTAGCACTGGACCTCACATTCCTTCATCATTCTCTTCACATATCTTTAGCTGATGACTTTGGTCTTTGTGAAATCCATTTTCAAGGCACATACCTTGAAAGCACTTTAATATTTTGGTTCTCATTACTAGTCAGATATTTTGTGATGATATTTTCTGTGGAATTAATTTAAAGAGGAAAAGACCCACCAGTAACTGATGGAATAATTTCATTTTAAAATGTGAATTACTTTATAATAAAAAAAAGACTTCCTTACTATCTGGTTTTAAACACAGCCTGTTGTAGAATTTGGAAAGGGATCAGTTGATGCGTACTTTCGTGTACCTTTATGATGCAAAAGGAGCCAATTATATCATAACATTTTGAGGCACGATGACAATGAAACATTTCATGAATAGTGGGGCTTGTGCCATTAGAACATTTTCTGGTTATGATTATCCGTTTGGCACTGAAGCCAATAAGTCATCGGAAATTGTGGGAGGAATCTTGTGAAACTCCCCAATGGCTTCAATAAGAACCTATTTAAAATTCAATAGCCTTTTCTTATCCCACATTTCTATTGCAAGTTCAAAAGAATTGCCTTAATTGCTGCTTCTGCTTCACAGTCAGAGGCTGTTCAGATACTGTTGTACAATGTGCTATGAGTTGTCCCTCATTCTCTTTGTGGCCCTTTGCTGTCTCTTTATAACCAAGGATCACAAAGCATTCCACTATGGATCCTACTGAGAGCAAATGTGGGTATTTTGCTGCCACGAGATCTGCCTGAAAAGAAACATGAACTACAGTGAAATTTGAATAGCATTTGTCCTTTTCTTGAAAAAAAAAATTGTGGTGGGGAATGTGGAAATTGTATTTATTTTGTAAAATCAACTTTCCTTTCTTCCTTCTTTACCTTTAAAAAAGTCTATCATGCTGATGCCATTGCCATGGTCTTTGAAAATAGTAGTGTCTTTCCTGAAATGATAATTTGATTACTTAAACAGTTGGGTAATTCAACTTTAATCCCTTCCCTCTCTTCTGAAGAATGTTGGTTTGTGAATTTATGGCTCCACTGACAACTTTGTTACCTATTTTAAAACAATAGCTCCTGGCCATGCTGTTTCTAAAGATGTTGTGCCCCTTTGTAATACTGGCTGTTTATGTTATAGTCCAGCATTTAATGTATCATCCTGAATACAATAAAGGCTTTTAATCCTGTTTCATTTTCTGTTACATCTAAAACAGGGCTTACTCAAGAGATGCTACTCTGCCAATGCCTCGTATCTGTTCCAGCAAGACAAGTTTTATGACATAAGCTATGACACAGGTGACAAATCCATCCAGTGTAGCAGAAGAGCAGATGCATTCAAATTCTGGATGACATGGAAAGCCGTGGGGACAGCTGGCCTTGAGGAGAGAGTGAACAGAGCCCTTGCTTTAGTCAGGTATGATCTTTCATTGATAGAAGTTTTTGACACAATACTTAAAATATCACATAGTAGTGCTATATCTTTAAAAGCTTCTCTGGGTAACTCTATTAAATTTCAGATGTATATTCCCTAAGCTGAAAATGTAGTTCAGACATAATTATATTAAAACCTTGGATTTTCAAACGGAGAACAAGATTGATTGATTGATTGATTGATTGATTGATTGATTGTTAAACTTGTATGCTGCCCATCTCCCCCAACAGGTGACTCTGGGCGGCTCACAATAACAAA